ACCTGTACTCACCATTCCTACACCTGCCTAATTAACACATTACACCCAGGAATGATCTTCACCTGTACTCACCATTCCTATACCTGCCTAATTAACACATTACACCCAGGAATGATCTTCACCTGTACTCACCATTCCTACACCTGCCTAATTAACGCGTTACACCCAGGAATGATCTTCACCTGTACTCACCATTCCTACACCTGCCTAATTAACACGTTACACCCAGGAATGATCTTCACCTGTACTCACCATTCCTACACCTGCCTAATTAACACGTTACACCCAAGAATGATCTTCACCTGTACTCACCATTCCTATACCTGCCTAATTAACACATTACACCCAGGAATGATCTTCACCTGTACTCACCATTCCTACACCTGCCTAATTAACGCGTTACACCCAGGAATGATCTTCACCTGTACTCACCATTCCTACACCTGCCTAATTAACACGTTACACCCAGGAATGATCTTCACCTGTACTCACCATTCCTACACCTGCCTAATTAACACGTTACACCCAGGAATGATCTTCACCTGTACTCACCATTCCTACACCTACCTAATTAACACATTACACACAGGAATGATCTTCACCTATACTCACCATTCCAATACTGTGGGCGTTGCTGATGTTAGAGGCGAAGGCGACGGAGTTGGTAGTATTTGGTTCTGGGAAAGACAAAAGATTTGTTTTCGAGGCACCGTGTTGTCACCAATCACCATCCCTCTCCCCTGGCTTTTTTTCGTCAACGTGGCCTTTTTCCTCTTTCTTAGCGAAGTAGTTTTCCGAGAACTGTGTAGAGGCCCTGTGCGTCATCGCCATCCCTTACCCCGATGTTCAGGTAACGAAATTACCATCCCCACAACACACACTAATCAGTTTTTCTCTCTCTCTATCTCTCTCACACACACACACACACACACACACACACACACACACACACACACACACACACACACACACACACACACCAAGCCAAGGACGTCCATCAGAGGGTAGTCCGGTAGATCGTGGTCCATTAGCTGTGAAACCTCCATTTAGCGAACTATACGGGGGAGGATAATCCGCTATATCAATGTAGTTCCGGTAAGTGGGGGCTTTACTATAATTACAAAGATAACTTTCATACTTTTCAGAGCTGAATTAAGCTTCCCTGTGAGTTACCTGTTGATGACCATTGTATGTAAAGGTTCATTGTCCAAGCTTAGACTGACTGAATAACTTAAAGCATAGACTGAATTGAATGACTTGAACCTTAGACTGAGTTATTTTAAGCTTAGACTGATTGAATGACTTGAAGCTTATACGGACCGAGTAATTTTTGGCTGAAACTGATTGAATGACTTAGACCTTATACTGACTAAGTGGCCTTAATCTTAGACTGATTGAGTGACTTTAAGCTTAGTCTTAAGTGGCTTTATACTTAGGCTCGCTGGGTGAATTTAAGCTTAGATTGACTGAGTGACTTGAAGTGACTTTAAAACTAGTCTGACTGAGTGGCTTTAATCTTAAACCATTAAGGGCAAATGGTCTGCAAGAAGGGGGGCTTCATATGCATGAGGCATGACGAGGTAAGGGATCTCACAGCAAATATGTTGGAGAACGGGTCATGGTAGAACCGACCTCCTTCCACTGGATGGCGAGATCTTCCAACACAGGACTTCAAACACATCTAACGAAGCCCGTGGACGTTGCTCGAGGATTCTGGACACGGGGACAGCGAACTTTCTTCGACATCAGATTTTTGATCCCATGGCCGTTTGTCACTGTAACCTAGCTCTCGATGCTGCACATAGGAGGAACGAGAACGACAAGAGAAGGGCATATGGGGAGAGAATTAAAATGTCGATCAAGGCAGCTTCACCCGCTAGTGTTCACAACCTCTGGTATGCCCGCCGCAAGATGTTTCTACGCCAGACTCAGCGGAGCTGGATCTGCGAACAGCCCAGGTTGTGTCACAGCCTGGATGAGATGTCGATCGTCCTCTCTCCTTCGGTCGGCTTTGCTCTGCCTCAGGGGAACGAGAGCTTCTGCCCCTACTCCGACAACTGCTGCAGATATTGACTATGAGGCTACAGTCACTGAATGCCGCAGATCTGCGGCTCAACTAATACAGATAGGATAGCTTATGTATTGGGATATTTATTACAAGGTAAATAAATGAGGTGAAGGTGGCTATTGGGGAGGCTGCAGAGAATAAAAAAAAAAAAAAAAAAAATGGTGGAGGTTGTAGGTAGGTTGTAGTAGTGGCATTGCTAGTAACGTGGTAGGGTGGTAGGTGTAGTGCATGTGGGTAATGGCAGTGGTAGGTAGTAGTAGTGCGTTGCTAGTAGTAGTGGTTGTAGTAGTGGCGTTGTTGGTATATGTTGCTAGTAGTGCGTTGCTAGTAGTAGTGTTGTAGTAGTAGCGTTGTTAGTAGTAGTGGTTGTAGTGCTGTTAGTAGTAGTGGTTGTAGTTAGTGTGGTGCTGCAGTAATGTTGGTAGTCAGTGATGTTGTTAGTAGTAGTGGTTGTAGTAGTGGCGGTGTGGCTGAGTATTGTTGAGTGGTAGTGGCTGTAGTGATGCAGTTTGTTAGTAGTGGTTAGTAAGTGTTTATGCTGCTAGTAGTGATTGTTTTGTTGCTATTGTTTGGTTGTTAATCACAGTTAGCATGGTGTTGTTGTTAGCTGTCGTCCTCGATGTCATCTTTGTTCATCTGTCTGTTTTCGTTGTTTGCCGTCATGTCTTGTTGTTGTCAGTTGCTGTGTTGTCGGTGTCTGCTGTCGTCATGTCATTGCTATGAAATGTTCTGTTGTTGCCTTTTGCTGTTTGCTTTGTTGTCTCATATCGGTCCGTCAACCCAACAACCTTGTGATAAACAAAACCAACCTTGTTTGGGCTTAATGTTAAATAATTCACATTAGGTATATAATTATAAGTTCTCTTGATATTTGTACACTGGTGATGGTAGCAGCAGCTCTGAGGCTCCCCACACTCCAAGCCTCCCAGCCCTTTAGGAGACACATTTTCCCCGTAATTTCTGGCTTAATAAACGGATGGAAAATATACAAATTAGGTGTCATTAGTTAACGAAGATAATGTCCCAGGAATTAAAGATCCGCCGGTTGTCCTAATTAAATATAAAGAAGCCACAGATATTTAACCTATTTGGTGGTGATTATGTTGTGTAATTGTTATCTGGTAGAGAATCAGTGTTCGGACCGGTCGGGAATAATTACTGTGTGTGGTAAGAGGAGGTGATGAGAAACTATTTTTTTAGGTGAAACAGAATCGTGATAGAATATAAAACACAGAGAATTAGTGACTTCAAACACACACATGCATACTGGTACACACAACACGTGTATACTCTGTTGAAATCATGATAATGACGGTATAGTCATATTAATAAAAGATTATATATTTATATTCTAGCGACCTTGTTCCATCACATAAAGTGATTAGATTCTCTCTGTCGCACCATCGTCTCACTTGACCGACTATATGAGGTAAAGATTCTCCTGTCCAAATGGTGTTATGATCACTGGAACACAGAACAACAATAACATTACAGCAATAACAACTCCTGGAGACGAAGAACATTTCAGTCACTGCTGTTCATATCTGTTCACTATGTATCAACTTCAGTCACTGTTTATATCATCTTACTAGTTGTTTATATCTTGTTCGCTGCTGTTTATCTTGTTCCCTGCTGTTTATATCTTGTTCACTGCTGTTCATATCTCAGTCACTGCTGTTTATATCTTGTTCACTGCTGTTCTATATCTTGTTCACTGCTGTTCATATCTTGTTCTCACTGCTGCTTATATCTGTTCACGTGTCATATCTTGTTCACTGCTGTTCATATCTTGTTCACTGCTGTTCATATCTGTCACTGTTGTTCATATCTTGTTCACTGCTGTTTATATCTTGTTCACTTGTTGTTTATATCTTGTTCACTGCTGTTCATATCTTGTTCACTGCTGTTCATATTCCTGTCGCTGTTCATATCTTGTTCACTGCTGTTTATATCTTGTTCACTGCTGTTTATATCTTGTTCGCTGCTGTTTATATCTTGTTCACTGTTGTTTATATCTTGTTCACTGCTGTTCATATCTTGTTCACCTGTTCATATCTTGTTCACTGCTGTTCATATCTTGTTCACTGGTTGTTATATCTTGTTCACTGCTGTTCATATCTCAGTCACTGCTGTTTATATCTTGTTCACTGCTGTTTATATCTTATTCATATCTTGTTCACTGCTGTTTATATCTTGTTCGCTGCATCTTTGTTCACTGCTGTTCTATACTGTTCACTGCTGTTCATATCTTGTTCACTGCTGTTTATATCTTGTCTCACTGCTTTATACTTTGTTCACTGCTGTTCATATCTTGTTCACTGCTGTTATATCTTTTCCTGCTGTTTATATCTTGTTCACTGCTGTTCATATCTTGTTCACGTTGTTCATATCTTGTTCACTGCTGTTCATATCTTGTCTACTGCTGTTCATATCTTGTTCACTGCTGTTCATATCTTAATTACTGCTGTTTATATCTTGTTCACTGCTGTTTATATCTTGTTCGCTGCTGTTTATATCTTGTTCACTGCTGTTCATATCTTAGTCACTGCTGTTTATATCTTGTCTGCTGTTCATATCTTAGTCACTGCTGTTTATATCTTGTTCACTGTTGTTTATATCTTGTTCACTGTTGTTCATCTTGTTCACCGCTGTTTATATCTTGTTCACTGCTGTTTATATCTTGTTCACTGCTGTTCATCTTGTCTTTACCTGTTCATATCTTGTTCACTGCTGTTTATATCTTGTTCACTGCTGTTCATATCTTGTTCACTGCTGTTTATATCTTGTTCACTGCTGTTTATATCTTGTTCACTGCTGTTTATATCTTTGTCCACTGCTTTCATATCTTTTAGTCACTGCTGTTTATATCTTGTTCGCTGCTGTTCATATCTTGTTCACTGCTGTTTATATCTTGTTCACTGCTGTTCATATCTTAGTCACTGCTGTTCATATCTTGTTCACTGCTGTTTATATCTTGTTCACTGCTGTTTATATCTTGTTCACTGCTGTTTATATCTTGTTCACTGCTGTTTATATCTTGTTCACTGCTGTTCATATCTTGTTCACTGCTGTTCATATCTTGTTCACTGCTGTTTATATCTTGTTCACTGCTGTTCATATCTTGTTCACTGCTGTCTATATTGTTCACGTTGTTTATATCTTGTTCACTGCTGTTTATATCTTGTTCACTGCTGTTTATATCTTGTTCACTGTTGTTTATATCTTGTTCACTGCTGTTCATATCTTGTTCACTGCTGTTCATATCTTGTTCACTGTTTCTTATATCTTGTTCACTGCTGTTATATCTTGTTCACTGCTGTTCATATTTGTTCACTGCTTGTTTATATCTTGTTCACGCTGTTCATATCTTAGTACTGCTGTTCATATCTTGTTCACTGCTGTTTATATCTTGTTCACCTGTTCATATCTTGTTCACTGCTGTTTATATCTTGTTCACTGTTTATATCTTGTTCACTGCTGTTCATATCTTGTTCACTGCTGTTCATATCTTGTTCACTGCTGTTTATATCTTGTTCGCTGCTGTTCATCTTGTTCACTGCTGTTCATATCTTGTTCACTGCTGTTCATATCTTGTTCACTGCTGTTCATATCTTGTTCACTGCTGTTTATATCTTGTTCGCTGCTGTTCATATCTTGTTCACTGCTGTTCATATCTTGTTCACTGCTGTTCATATCTTGTTCACTGCTGTTTCATATCTTGTTCACTGCTGTCATATCTTGTTCACTGCTGTTTATATCTTGTTCACTGCTGTTCATATCTTGTTCACTGCTGTTCATATCTTGTTCACTGCTGTTCATATCTTGTTCACTGCTGTTCATATCTTGTTCACTGCTAGCCTGTATCCTGTATCAGTATCCTACGCAACTTTTCCTGGAATCCTGTCACCATATTTTTTTTTCACTTGGTCGAGGCGCAGGACTCCTGATGCGCAGTTTTACTTCACAAAGGGGCGCACTTGTTGGCATGTTCAAGTTCTTGGGAGTTCATCTGCGCTTATTTTCCTGTCGTCATCATCAAGATCACATCGTCGTCGTCGTCATCAGTATTATCATCATCATCATCTGGTTATATTTCTCCTCTTATTCCTCTTCCTCTTCCATCTCTCCTCCCCCCATTCCTTTTTCCATCTCTTCTTCTTCTCCTCCTCCTCCTCCTTGTTTTTTATTGCCCCGTATTTTTCTCCTATTATTTGTGGTTTTTGTTTAATTCTTCCTTTGTTTCTCCATCGTTTTTCTCATTTATTTATCATTTATTGCTTCCTCTTACGCAGTGTTCAGTATACATACATAGTCAGTTTACTCATTTAATACATTATTCTGCATACATTGTACATGTCATGCTATCATAGTTAAAGTGTTAGGTTAAGTTAGATGTTAGTAAGTTAATGAGACACCTGCAGGTAACTCGACGACTTGTGTATTATGATCGTGGAAATGTTGCGTTTACTAGGTACTGTACCGACTTATTTACCAAGGTGGGTGAGTGAAGGTAGTCTCTCGGATCACCTGAAAATTAGCCTCTCAGCTTATACCCTTGAAGATTAACCACCCTCGCCTAATCTAACCAAACCAACCTAACCTAATCCCCAGGCAGCGTTAGGGTTGTTAGTTTTCAGGTGAAATAAGCTGGGGAAGACTCATCAGGCTACCCATTTTTATTTTGTTAGTAAGAAAATGAGGAAATTACAATATTGACCCCTCCTCTCCTTTCTGGTAACGCTGTATTGTGCGAGTACAGTAGTTGTATTTCCTGTAATATGATGTACAAGCTGTAATAACACACTGTATGGTCATGGAGAGGCTCGCCAGAGGTAAACGCCCCGACGCCAATCATACCTCTGAACGACTACCAGAGATGTAATCATTGGCTGAGGGAGATTCTGTCGCATTCTGCCGTGAAATCTTCCCCCCTAGTCCGTGGACACGATATACGGTACTTGGACACCCGTGACATAACTGTGACAACCGGTACAGGTTGCATGATGGCTGTATCCTGCTATACTGGTCAACACAAACACTCAGGATGTGTACACCTAGTGTGTGTGTGTTGGTAACCGTGTCTCCTACGTTGTTCAACTGGCGTTGTGCTTGTAGTGGCTGAGTTAAGTCACCGTTTACACGATTCTCTTCAAGCGTGTATCCTGTCACTTGTATCAGACTCATTATAAAACAGTCAAGCAAGATCCCGGACGCCGCCAGACACACTCCAGCACCGCCCACACACATATGCTGGCGGGGAATTCTTGCACTCGTCTCAAGGGTGTAGGAATATTTTCACCACTCAAGTATCTCGCCATTTTTACGACCCATAAACCACGGAAGATGATGATGTGTTCGAACCATGAATATTCCTTTAATTTATCGTAATAAAGTGTAGTACTGTATCGTCTTACTTGTACTACGGGTCCCACCAATGTACTGATACTTGTACCAGTAACCACAATTCAACCACTTGCGTATAATTTGGGAATTGAAATATTCAGTTAATTTGGGTACAATTTGGGAACGATAAGTATACCTTACTTGTTCATCACCTTGTTCTTATTGGTTGTTGTACTCGTCGCCATAGTTCTATTACCAAAACAATCTATACAAAATTGTGTTGAAAAAAATACACAACGGACGAATGACTTAACAACCTTACCGAGACAACAGGAGTCGTAGTGTTTATTCTGAAATTCATCGATCACCTTAAGTACAGAGTTTTTTTTTGTTGAGAGCCGTTTTCTTCCACACACCAGTAAAGGGAGGTTTGTGGCATGAGAATGAGTTTTTTTTTCCACACACAGGTAAAGATTCAATACATCTTCGTGACCAGAGGAGGTGTGCGTGTATGTGTGTATGACCATTCAACCTCTGATCGTCTCAAGTATTAAACCTTATCTTTTTTTCTATACAAATACACGAATAACATGTTAGTAGTTATCTTTAACCCTCGTAATATATTCAATAGAGTAACAGGATATAGGGCGGGGGGAGGGGTAGTACATGTTTGGGGACACAAATGGAGGGTAATGTCCCATTTAAGATGTATCTATTATGTGGTAATGCTCCTGCCCTAACCTAACCTAACCCTAGATAGTATTAGGGGGGTTCAATCTGCAGGAGAAATAAGCTGGGGTCGCTAATCTTCAGGTGAAATAAGCTGGGGTCACTAATCTTCAGGTGAAAGCTTAGTGGCTAATCTTCAGGTGAAATAAGCTAGTGCTAATCTTCAGGTGAAATAAGTTGGTCGCTAATCTCAGGTGAAAGCTGGGGTCACTAATCTTCAGGTGAAATAAGCTAGTCGCTAATCTTCAGGTGAAATAAGCTTCTGCTAATCTTCAGGTGAAATAAGCTGGGGTCGCTAATCTTCAGGTGAAATAAGCTGGGGTCACTTCAATCAGGTAATAGCTGGGTCCTAATCTTCAGGTGAAATAAGCTGTCGCATCTTCAGGTGAAATAAGCTGGGGTCGCTATTTCAGGTGAAATAAGCTGGTCACTAATCTTCAGGTGAAATAAGCTGGGTCACTATTCAGGTGAAATAAGCTGGTGGCATGTTCAGGTGAAATAAGCTGGGGTCGCTAATCTTCAGGTGAAATAAGCTGGGGTGGCTAATCTTCAGTTCTCAAAAATTACCAGTTGGTGGAATATTAGACTAGAATGCCACTATCCATGAACACCCACCTTGTTAATTATGCACCAACAACTATTGACAGTTTCAACACATTACTCTGAATAATTGACGAGAATTGACCTGCGGCTGTTGTACTAAATTAAAATAGTGTGGCTTCTATTTCTACTGCTAACACTGTAACAGCACACAGGCAGTCATGCACCTGGCAACACTGAGGTAGCACACCTGGCAACACTGAGGTAGGCACCTGGCAACACTGAGGTAGTCATACACCTGGCAACACTGAGGTAGTCATACACCTGGCAACACTGGAGGTAGTCATACACCTGGAACACGAGTAGCACCTGGCAACCACACCTGGCAACACTGAGGTAGTCATACACCTGGGAACACTGGAGGTAGTCGTACATCTGTACAGCACCGGTGGTCGCCACACCGGCACCACTGAGGTAGTCATACACCTGGCAACAGAGGTAGTCGTACATCTGGCAACACTGAGGTAGTCATACACCTGGCAACACTGAGGTAGTCGTACATCTGGCAACACTGAGGTTAGGTTAGGTTAGGTTGGGTTGGATAGATATGGTGGGATAGGATAGGTTAGGTCAGGATAGCGTTAGGATGATAAAATAAGCTGTGGGGATAATCTTCAGGTCAAACATGTATGACATCATCCGTCCACGTCACCCAAGACGTCAGCGCTGTGAGGTGTATAATTATCAATAGTTATTTATGGTTGACTGAGAATACAGAGTTGAAATAAAGCGTGTTGATGGTGAGCGTACCTTAGTGGTGTGTGTGTGTGTGTGTGTGCTTTATATATGTGTGTATGTGCTTAATATATAATAATAATAATAATAATAATAATAATAATATTAAACGGTTTATTTTTAGAGTTGCAGCCAGTGGCTGAAAATATACACTTACATTTGATTTAGACATAATGATATAATATGCACTGAATACATTTACAGGGCTGTACAGTACATTTATCAGAGTTGTTTATTATTTTAACAATAGATGTGATGGTGCTGTTCTTATATCTATCGGTGCCGGCTCTTATGGGCTGAATTTTGTTGTAGTGGCGGACTGAGCGAGGTGGGTGGGGGGTTGCTGGTGGCAGGAGGTGGCGATGACGAGGGTGGTGTGTGTGTGTGTGTGTGTGTGTGTGTGTGTGTGTAGTAATTGCCTAGGCTGTTATATCATAAGGAATGAAAGTGGTTACGACAGAACCACCCAATTAGAGTGAGTCTTATTATGCAATCAAAAGAATTTCACAACAACTGGTATTTATAGAACACCACCACCCCTCTTCCTTCACCTCCTCCTCCACCTACCCCCCCCCTCCCCCCGTCCTCTCTACTCCCCTCTTCCCCTCCTCTTCTCTCCCTACTCCCTCTTCCCCTCCTCTTCTCTCCCTCTCCCCCTCTACCTCCTCTTCGGTCCCTACTCCCCTCCCCGTCCTCTCCTCTCCCTACTCCCCTCTACCCCCTCCTCTCTCCTCCTCTACCCCCTCTCCCTACTCCCCCTCTACCCCCTCCCTCTCTCCTCCCCCCTCTACCCCCTCCCTCTCCCTACTCCCCCTCCCCCCCTCTCCCTACTCCCCCTCCCCACCCCCCTCCTCTCCCTACTCCCCCTCCACCCCCTCCTCTCACTCCCCTCTCCCTACTCCCCTTCACCCCCCCTCCTCTCCCTACTCCCCCTCCCCCCTCCTCTCCCTACTCCCACCTCTACCACCCCTCCTCTCTCCCCACCCTCTACCACCCCTCTCTCTCTCCCACCTCTACCACCTCCTCTCCTACTCCCACCTCCTACCTCCTCCCCTCTCCACCCTACCCTCCTCTCCCTACTCCACCTCTACCCACCCCTCCTCTCCTACTCCCACCTCTACCACCTCTCTCCCTACTCCCT